TTTTTTTTGCAGTCTTATTATATATCTGGATGCACGGTCAAACAAGCAAATAAGCGCTTCAACACAACTGGTCACGACTACGAGCTTTCTATAACCGCAAATACTGAGGTAATTTTCCATTCTCAAACCAGGTTTTTCTTATTGAAGCAACTTTAGATTGCTCCTTGTCATGACCAAATTCCAAAACCAGCACTAGTCCTGAAAATCTGCCCTCTTGCTAATGTACCAAGTCACAAGGATGAGAATATTGATGTGCTTGCAGTTGTTGATCAAATACAGCCAGTAAACAAGGTAGGTGAAGCAGTTTTGGTATCTGATTCTCAAAAACAACTTTCAGTTCATCTCGAGGCAAGGACGCGAATGCGTGAAACGTGATATAAATTTGATTGATCAATCGAGTACAGTGGTCCAATTAACGCTATGGGGTGATCAAGCCGAGAATTTTGAAGAGCATGCCCTTGGGCAAGTTATATCAATCAAGGGAGCTTTGGTAAAAGAATGGAATGGTAAGTTTTCCCTATGACATATCTTAGAAAGGTAAGATGGCATGCTGTTTAGGAGCGTTCAGCTTGGCTGTAGCCTCTGCTTCAAAAATTGAGTTGAGCCCACAACTCGATGAGGTTCCAGTGCTTTATGAATGGTACACTAGCGAAAGAGGGTCAGTCGATGCTAAGACCATCAGTATGGCTGCTTCTGGTGGAAGTGACGCATTTGGTAAGCTGGCTTGCTGTTGGTCATAGTTGGACCAGTCGATATTAGTATCGTAGATCTAACTTTTTGTCTAAATGAAGTCTGTGTCTATTAAAGTTTATTCTCTTTACACATTCGACTATTAACAGTTGGCCTTCTAGGACGAGATCTACGCTTCATTGGAACCGCAACCGCACTTCAGCTTGGAAATGAGGCAGCATTACCAAATGGGCGATATATGAACCTGAAAGCCATGATTACTACTATAAAAACGGATACTGCTCTCTACCAGGTTCATAACTTTTGCAAGTTTTGAACACTCTGTCAAATTTCTTCTTTTGTTTTGCAGAGTTGTCCAAATGAAGGATGCTCAAAGAAGGTCGTGCAATTAGGTATTGACCAGTACAGGTGTGAGAAATGTGACTCGTCAAGCGACACATTCAAATGGGCATACATGGTTCAGGTTAGAGGCTTTGTTTACCTTTTGTTAGAACTGAACTTGGTTTCTGTTGGACGAAAAA